ATCAGAATTCAGAGCTTGCTTCAGCTTTCTCTTCCTTCTCTCGTTCACGTTCTTTTCTGTTCACTTCCTCACGATAATTTCGCCAGCTTTAGTATTTAATATGTACGGTCCATGCTACCCTTACTCCTGTACCTGTTCAGCTTGGTTCTTTGCTTCCCGCCCCCCTCCCTGTGCTGCCCTCCACACCCCGCCCTACCTGTTAGGTCTTTAGCTTAATCATCCATGTCTGCTTGTACTAGATTGTTGCCCTAAGAACTCTGTAAGCCCCAGAGTGAAACTGATTTGGATTTTATAGCCCTGGTGATTTTCCTTCTGGTGTACTACCAAGAAAATGCTATATAGCACAGGAGCTGATGAGTCATTTTGTAGGGCTTTTGCTTTCTATTTTGTGTTTGAAAAATTAGGTATGATCCCGAACCTGGAAATGTTTCTTAAAATCAGGAGAATAATAGAACCGTAATATAAAATCATCAGTGTTAGTTTTGGTCTCTGATTAATGTAATATATTGTGATTTTTGAGTAACTTGAGTTCCCCAATAAGCATTCATTCATGTGAAATTTCATTTTTGTACATTTTCATTGCTTGTACTGGAAGCTGACTAGAATTACTTGGCACCTGCTGCTCTGTGTCTGGCGTTGTTCTGGGGACCTTACACCTGTTAAACCATTAAATCATCACAGCAGGCTTGTACTGTAGGTCTGGATTCTCCCATTTTACTGAAAAGAGATCGAAGCCGAGCATATTGAAGTAACTTTTCATAATGCCTCTCAGCTAGTAAGGCTCAAAGCTGGAATCTGATCTCTGTTTGTGTGGCCCCAATTACAACAGGCTCCCCAGTTGGAGATAAACATGGGGACATATTAAGGCTTCCTTTTGGATTTGGACAGTCATATAGATGAGAAATGAAGCCAACTCCTATTGGTTGAGATGGTAGGCTGTTGGGAATTAATTCAGCTTAGTATTGAGTGCAGTCTCTGGCAAGATTCCAGGCTTCTATCACATAGTTCTGCTGGATGAAGGGTTGCCTTGATCATCAATAATTTCATTTCTATAGTATAGTTCCGTTGCCTAAGGGGTTGACTTGTGAGAAAATAAATTCATTGAGATCATAGTGTGTGTCTCCCCCAGTTTATCTGAAGCATTGCTGGCATGGTTATTTTATCTTCTAATTCCTGGCGTTTGATTCAGGGCCATGATTTCCAAAGCTGGTCCCTTGGCTGGCCTCCACCATCTGCCATTTGTTGCTGCCTTCTCCTCCCTGTTACAAACTCCCCCCGCACTGATAGTGGCTTCTGAATCCAATCTCCTGCTTCTTCAGTCAATCCTAAATATTGTCAATCCTAGTGATTTTTTCACAATACTAACTTTGCGTCCAAATGGTATTGTGCTTCATGTCATACTCTGTGATTCCCTTTATATAATGTTCTTGAAATGATAAAATTATAGAGATGGAGAATTGATTAGTGTCTGCCTGGGGTTAAAGATGTTGGGATGAAGGGTGACAGGTTTGACTCTAACGAGGATAGCATGAGGAAAATCCTTGAATGATCAAATAGTTCCATATTTTGATGTATGATAGTGAGTACATGATGCAAACGTGATAAAATAACGTAGAACTATATGCAAACTTTATCTAATGTCGATTTCCTGATTTTGTTATTGTAGTATTGGTATATAACATGTAATTAATGGGGGAACCTGGATAAAGGCTGCATGAGACCTCTCTATCTGTGCAATTTCATGTGAACCTTTAATTATATAAAAATAAAAAGTAAAAAAAAATACTATTGTGCTTTAAAATGTTTAAGTTCCTATGTCTATCATATTGGTTATGTTTTATATTCTTTGCTTCCTCTTACATTAATCATACAAAATCATCTCCTAATTTTTTTTCTATCTAAATCATAGTTAAACATTGACACAATATTTGTCTTTTATCGGGTTACCAAGAAATGCTTTTTGAGTTAATTAAACAATGAATTATACTTGATGAAAGAACAGTATATCAGTACTTGGTCTCATTACTAACCATCTTGTTTTCCTATTCACTTCCTTATTCATTCTTGCCTTTGTGTCATTTCTTTCCATGGACTAAGCAGCATGCCAGGGGTTTGATCTGAGGAGTCTGGAAGACTTGGGGTTGCCTGAAGGGGTTGTACAGCCTGTGGCCACAGTCACATAGCCCTAAGTCCACTCACAAATTCTAAAATTAGTCCTAAATTCTAAAAATAAGTCCTCCTTGAGGCCTCAAGACTTAGTGTTATAAGACCAGATGAGCCAGGAAACCAGGATATGAACTATGGTGAAACACAACCGTCCACCCACTCATATTTACTAAGACTAGTTTTATAGTGCAGTGTACGATCTTTCTTGGTGAATGTTCCATTCATGCGTACCTGAAAAGAAAAGGATACTCTGCAGTTATAGTTTTTTTTTTTTTAAATGAAAATCTGTTTCAGATCTTCCATGTCTTTAATGATTTTTGAGGGGGTTGTCTTGTTGTATTAATTACTCAAACTATGATTGTGGAGTTGTCCCTTTCTCCCTTTATCTGTCAGGTTTTGCCTCATGTTTTTTGAAACTCTGTTGTTAGGTGCATACACATTTTTTATTGTTGTGCCTTCATCCCGACAATTCACCCTTTTATCATTATGATCTCTTTTTATCTTTATCTTGAAGTTTTTGTTATTAATTTAAACACTTGAGTCTTATGCTTACCCTTTGCATGGTATAAATTTTCCCCCTTTACTTCCAATTATATTTAATGTGGATCTCTGAAAGACAGCCTAGAATTGGATCTTGTTATTATTTTTTTTTAATCCATTCTGGCCATCTTTGCCTTTTTATTCAGTGTAATTCATCCATTAACGTTAAAAGCAATCCTTGTCAGGCACCATTTACTGTTTGTTTTTTATTTGTTCCTTCTGTGTTTTGTTCTTCTGTTCTTGCTGTCTTCTGGATTAAACATTCCAAAATGATTTTAGAGTTCTTTCATCTAGTTATTGTTTTTTAAGGTTTTTTTGTGCTTGTTCTAGGGAATACAGTGTATCCTTAATTTTTCTTAGGGTTATTGTTTAGGGTTAGTATTACAATGTTTTATTTAAGATGTAAGAATCTGGAAACTATATATGACCATTTAACCCCTCCCTGACATCATGCTATAATTGTCATGCGTATTACATTTATATGTTTTATAAATCCCACAGTGAAGTGTTAGAATCTTTAAACAGTCATATATTTTTAAAACATTAAGAGAAAAATTACAACTTCTGGTGCTCTCCATTCCTTCTGGACCTTTGATTTTCTGATATCATTCACCTGGAGAACTTTGGGATTTTTTTCTACTTTAGGTTTGCTAGGACAAATACCCACAATTTTCTTTTATGTATAATTTTTAAAATTTATCTTCATTTTTAAAGATCTATGGCCTGGATATAGAATTCTGGGTTCATAGTTGTCAGCCCTACCTTCCCTCCCCAGCTCTTCATCATTGTACTGTCCTCGGTCGTCCGTTTCTTATGAAAACATTGATTCTTACTGTTTCCTGTATGTAATGTGTCAAGTTTTTCTCCTCTTTTAAAAATGTTTCCTTATATTTGATTTTCAGCGGTTTGACTCTCTGTAGCTGGATGCAGCTTTCTTTGCACTTACTCTGTTCAGTGTTTTCTGGGCTTCTTTAGTTTGTACATTGGTCTTTCACCCAAATTGGGAAATTTTCAGCTCTTTTTATCCCCTGTATTTTTCTCTCTCTATTCACCTCCTGAAACTTTAGTAATACAAAATGTTTGCTCTTTTGCTACTGTCCCACAAGACCCTGATCATCTGTTTCTTCTTCTTCGGATTGGATTTTCCTTTCTTGTTTCCTTAAGCATATTTATATTAACTGTTTTAACATCACTGTGGGCTAATTCCAGCACTTGGGTCAAATTTCCACTTGACTATAGGTTAGATTTTCCTGCTTGTTCATATGTCAAGTAATTTGGGTTGTATTGAATTCACTTTGTGAATGATACTTTGCATCGACTCTATTTTGTATGTTCCTTCAAAGAGAATTGAATTTTTTTTTTTTTTTTGGTCTTAACAGCCAGTTAATTTGGCTGAACTTAAACTAAATTTTGACTTTTCTCTGGCAGCAAGAGTTCCCCTGATCCATTCAGAAAGCTAATATTGAATAAGTGCTGAGAGTCATGTATCATAATAGGTGACTGTGTTAAAAATAAAAATAGACATGGACCCTTACCTCAAGAGACTTACAGTCTAGCTGATCGAGATAGGAAAGTGAACTTATAGATAAGCATGGTAACTTTTAATACGTCACTGAGATAATATCTGGAAGCAGTCAGGTTACTGAGAAAGGAGTTGTGAAATTGTTAAAGTGTAATTTAAAAACTATTTTTAAAGCAACCCAATCCTTCTGAGAACAGGAGATCATGTATTTATTACATATCATGATGTGGCTGATGAATAACTATTAGTTCCACTGGCATCCTGTTGTTAATTCTTTGAAGGAAAGGACACAGGGAATGTTTCAAAAGCAGAGCATATTGTGGGGAAGCAGTGTTAAAAATAAATGCTTAAATTCTGAACTGCTGTACCAAATAGGAGGAATACTTTATGTTTGGTTAAAAAAAAAAAAAAAGAGAGATTTGATAAAATCTGAGCGAATGACACATATGGTCATAGCTTAGGAATATTTGATATTGCTGAGATTAAAAAGACCTATCTATACTAAAGGTACCACTGTTGGGAGAAAGATATTTCAAAAACCGTTTATACTCATGGAAAATATATCTTAAAATCCTGTCAGTTTCCTGTGTCAAATACCAAGGAGGTTTTTTGGTTTATACTTATATTTGTACTCATATCTGTAAAAATGAATGTCTATACTATATCTGTAAAAATGAATGGGTAATGTGAGGTTGGTTTTTATTTTGTAAAAACATTTACCTTAGTGGTAATTTGAGCCTTTCTTTTCTCTTTTTCCCCCCTGTTTTAACAGTGTATCCTATTCAGTACATGTGTCTGAAGATTACCCAGGTATGCTTTTCTTCTTTCTATTATTACAAATACTCGTGTCATGATTTCTTTGAATGTTTCTTTCTATTGGAGATGGGGAATGTATATAAATATATCTAAGAGTGAAACGTTCACAGGAAGACTTGCAGATCTAGAAGAATTCTGTTGGATGCCTGTGAGATGCATGTCTTATCCTGCGATGCAGTCCAAAATCAAAATAGTTTCCTGATGAAAAGTCATGTACTTGAGCCCGTGCGATAGCTTCCGCCTGTGTATGTTTATGTCATTATAAGTAAAACAAAGAGTCCTGAACCGGTTTAGTTGTTGGATTTGCAACATCATTTGGCTTTTTATAATGTAAATAGAACAGGTAAGAAGAGCAGCTAAACTAATAGCTAAAAATAACAATAGCTAAGAATAAGCCTGTCTTCATTTTTCTAAGTATATAAATGATTACACATTTCTCATAATAATCCTATGAGATTGTTACCATAATATCACCATTTTCCTTCTGAATGGTGACACACCTGGTAAGAGGAAGAGTTGAGACTTGAACCCAGTAGTCCAGAACCTACGGACTATACCGCTGGACTAGACTGGGTATCTGGTATATACACGGCTATTCTCACTGTGTGTCTGTCTCCTGAAATGGATTAGAAGGCCTACAGATACTTGTCCCTAGAAGACAGAATGTAAGAACACTGCAGATGTTAATCCTTTTTCTGTAAATCAGACAAGTGTTTTTCTTCTAGGCCTTGGTCAGTCCTATTTTCTAGACGCATGTCATCTCATAGAGCCCAGGCTGTGGATGCTAACATTTCAGTCACAACAATGTGAAGAGACAAACAAGATGTTCCTCTTTAGTATTTTCCTCACAAGTGATATCTATAATTATATTTTGAATAAGAGCATAAGGATTACAGACATAGTGCCGAAAAAATACACCTTGATTAGTTTACCCTCAGAGCAAAGAGTATAATGCAGAAATCTATTGTTTATTGTATTTTGTGGCAAAGAACAGCAACTCTCTCTCCAACACTCTGACTTACTCAAATCAGACGGTCACCAAATTATACAGTTGTGATCTGCAAGTATCATAAATTAGAATCAATTCTTATTCAAATCTAGCCATTTTATTCACATACTATGCATGATTTGGATCATATTTTTCTATGTAAAATTACTACATTGCTATAAGTAACTTTGATTATATGTACTTGGAGTATTTTTAAAAAATAATTAGTTCATAAGGTAGTATGAAGATCTCCCTTCTTTAACATTTAGGCTAGGATTTTTTGTGGCAGTTTGCATCATGCATTTAATCATGCATTTTTTAATAATGTCAAATGTTACATTTAAAAATAATTTCGTAGGGACGCCCGGGTGGCTCAGTTGGTTAGGTGTCTGCCTTTGGCTCAGGTCATGATCCTGGGGCCCCATGTGAGGCTCTCTGCTCAGGGGGACGTCCATTTCTCCTCCTCCCTCTGCCCCTCCCCCTGCTCATGCTCTCTCTCTTTTCACTCTCACTCTCTCAAATAAATAAATAAATCTTTTTTAAAAAGTACCATGGCTAACATTATCAAAAATAAATAAAAATAATTTTATAAATCATAAACTCCCTTACAATTATTTTGCTATGATCACCACACGTGTTAAGCATAGTATTCTTTAAGACTATCGTATAGTTTTCCAAGGGTTATTCATTATTAAAGAGATGCTTATTTTTTGATAATAGTATATAAAGTGTTCTAGGCAGATTTCATTGGAAGTAGCAAGACAAAATAAAATATTTATGAAGAAAAATTTTTTGTAGTTGGTTTTGCAGTCAACTCTCGCCCTTGTGATATTTTTGATGCTGAGTGTTTGCCAAATAAGTACGTTAGGAAAATAAAAGTTAATCTCACTATCATACATAATTATAATTATTGTACTTCTGATCTGAGGCAGCTCCTAGAGATGTCAATCATGAGAGGACTTTAGTTAGGGTGATAGAAATAATGCCACAAATCAAAACCCATCTTGATGACAGTGAATCATTCTGTAACACAAGAAATAGGGCAGAAGATGCCTTTGGTAAACCAAGTGAACAAAATGTTTAGCTCCCTCTTGTGGCCAAGAGGTATCACGGACTTTTTCTCGCCTTGGCGTGAGGGAGCCCCTCTAAAAATGCAATGTACAAAAATTGAAACTTGCTAAAAATTGGTTATTATTTGTGCTTTTTTTTTCCCTTTTAAACAAATTCCCATCCTGGAGAAAGTCTGTAGTAAATCTGCAATATAATTTCATTTCTAAATATAAAAGGAGTGTAGATAAAACACAACTATGAGTGAGAGAGATTTGTACATTTGGGGGTAGGATTTTGAATTGGTTGATGTGACGAACCAGTACACTGTGTACCGAGTATTTCCATATACATAATTGAATTGACTTTAAATGCCAGTTTGTGTATAAGCAGAACAGAGGCTATAATGACATTTTGTACTTGAAGAAATATGCCAAGAGAGGTTAAATAGTATTATCCAAGGACATGTAGTTTAGTGGTAAAAACCAATTCTATGTATTTTTATGGAGCTTCCTTCAAAGTGAATATTACCATGATAATATTTCCCCATGATTAAATTTTAATCTACATTTATTTGTACCAACAGCTCAGTTAATATGCTTGATTTCTCAGGTAGATAATATTGTATAAAAATTACCTGTTTGCTCGCCCTTTCCAATAATCATCCTTGTGTTTTTTTGTCCCATTACCCTGCTAGAACTTCCAGAATATTTTTAATAATTGATATGAAAGTTGGCAGCTTTGTCCTCTTTTTTCAAAATTAGTGATCATACTTCCATCTGCTTTTAGAAAACTACTTTTCTCATTTACCAAGCTTTTTTTTTTTGAATGACTATTAAGTCTTTATCAAATTCTTGTTTAACATCTGTTGAGTTATCATACATGATTTCTCCTTTGAACAACAAGGTAACGAGTTATATTATTAGTATATATCTTAATGTTGATCTCTAAGAATTACATGTATTTTGTCATACACTTTGTCATTAAGGACTTGACATTGTACCTGTTCTTTGTCATTTGACAGAACATGCAAGCCAATCTCTCTGAGCCTGGTATTTTTGTTTTTTTTTTAGGGAAAGTTCTGGGATTAATAATTATTTTTCTGCCATGGTTATTATCTGTTCTGATTTTCTGTTTCTTAGTCATTTCTAAGCATGTGTTCTTCTTTAAGGCTCACTATGTTGGTGAAATGTGCAACTTTTTCAGGAAGAAGTTTGCTTATAGTATTCAGTATATATCAGTATATACTTCTGAAAATTTTGTGCATCTCTATGGCTATTTTTCCTTTCTTCTTTCTGTTGTTTTACATTTGTTCTTGCCTTTTCTCCCTTCGATTTTTCTTCTCCAGAGTTTTACCTACTGTAAAATCCTTTCAAACAAATAGCTTTTTACTTCATTTTTAATTTCTGAATGCAGTAATCTTGATAGTACTTTTGTTAATTCTTTCTGCTATTGTTCCTCAGCCTTTTTTTTTTTTTTTTCTCCCTTCCTACTTTTCCTGGATTATATGGTTGACTGATTAGTTCATCCTCCAAGTTTGAAAATTTGGAACTTTCTTTGTCCTGTGGAAATGTATGAGAATAATTCTTCAAATTCAGGATTATGTCACTCTGTTTCTCTCCTTAGGAACGAATTTATCATTTTATAATTTTAATCATTTACTAACCTCTGTCATCTTTTGAAATCACAGTTTTGTTTTTTGTGAACAAAGAGGGTCTTTGTTGAGTGTTAAGTATACCTTAAATAACATGGATATAAATGCAATGCTAAATGATATGTTGGTTCTTTAAAATAAAGTGAAGAAATAGTCATTCTAGTTTACTTGTATTTCCTTATGTCATTTATGCTGCAGACAGATTTTTGCTTTTTGAAAGTAAGTATATTACAAGTCACAGATAATTGGCTCTCCTGTAATAGAACAGCAGAGTTTTTTCTCATCAATTCCCACCTTTAATTAGGAGGCTCGCCTTACTGGTGGGTGTGACTCTCTCATCCCTTTTACATGCTTTACAACATCCTGCAGCTGTTGAGTGATAATTTTTTGACATTAAAAAAACATAGCAAAGCATTGATGTTTGGAGTCAGATGGTTTCACTACTTACGAGTCATGTGTAATTTTAATTACTTAAATAATTTGGGCCAATGGCTTAATTTCTCTGAGCCTTGGTCTCCCCATCTTTAAAACAGGGATGATAAATGAGTGGCTTGAAGGTTGATAAGAAGCACTTGAATAGTATACACAACATTCAGGGGAGACATCCAGATTTTATTATAAAACCAATATAATTATAATTATATAAATTACATAGTAATGAATCCTGGAATGACTTGGCTTAAATTATGTTGCATTTGAAATGGAGTGAAAACAATAGTTCAGGAGATGCTTTCTCATAGCTTTCTACCCATTTCTCACTGGTTGTCCATGAGCGTTCTGCTGATGCTTGCAGAGTCTGGTAGGACAGGGAAGAGAAAATAGTCATACTGTTAACAGCCTATAATAAAGATCTTGAGGGCCTCTGCAAAACTTACACATTAAAGAACCTAACGGTCCCCAGAAGTTTCAAAAAAAAGAAAAAAAAAATTGGCAGCTCTGGAGTTAAGTGGGAGAATTCCAGAGAAGGAATTTGAGTTTGAAAACATTCTATTCTGTCACTGACTCATTCTGTTACCTTAAGTGCATTCTTTATTCTTTTTATGTCCTACTTTCTCATGTCTAAACAAAGATGATGTTATTATTACAGATGTCAAAATAGTTTGAGGAAGGTTTAGAAATGATTATTTAAACAACAACAAAAAGAGAAAACATAGAATTCATTCATACGGCTGGGACGATCCTCAGAACACATCAGCAAACCTTCATTTTTAGAACTGAGCCAACCGTGGCTTAGTTAGAAAGGACTGATAGCTAGTTGGTAGCTGGGTCTAGACTTTATGTGCTTTGTCTGCTTTCTTGTATTTCTGTTCTTCACTTGGGTATATACCCCTTTGATCTGGCCTATTATGTTGTAATGATGATTTAATAGATATTGTCTTGAAACCTGAAAACATTTTGGCTTGGGTAAATTAAGCCGGAAACAGAAGTTGGAAGTGTTCTAATGCCTAAATACTGATCAAAATACAAGCTGGGAGAAAATCTCGTAGAAAATGATATGTTTGACTGCATAATCCTGTCTTTGAGCATTATGCAACATGTATTCACCAAATTATATTCTCTTGAGTCAAAGCTGACTGCCTTCCAGTATCAACACTATGTAAACCATTTCTTTAAACTGAGTTATTCACTTCCCCATTTTCGTAAACAGAAAGCCCTAATTTACTTGCATCTTGAAGCGTAGTAAAATCCTCCTTGTTCCATGACCTTGAGATACTGTGTGATACTGTGTCCATTTTATGGATTTTTCTGGATTTCCCTTTCTAGTTGGTGGTCAGCTATTAATTCTGTTGCTCTAATCCACACTTCTAATACCCCTTTTCTCCATAAGTTTGCTTCACGGAATCCACTGTACACGAGGAGAATCTAGTTCAGTTGATTCTGTAGCAGATAACTTGGAATCAGTGAGACTTTCAATGAGGCTTTAAGAAATTTAAATACTGGCTTGGATAGAGGGTTTTTTTTTTTTTTTAAAGATTTTATTTATTTATTTGACAGACAGAGATCACAAGTAGGCAGAGAAGCAGGCAGAGAGAGAGGAGGAAGAAGGCTCCCTGCTGAGCAGAGAGCCCTATGCGGGGCTCAATCCCAGAACTCTGAAATCATGACCTGAGCCGAAGGCAGAGGCTTTAACCCACTGAGCCACCCAGGCGCCCCGGATAGAGGGGTTTTGATCCCTACCTCAGAGTATGAGGTTACTGAAAGAAGAGACTCCAGATAAACGGTTGAAGTCTCAATCAATGTGACAATAATTAAAATAAGTTTAATTAAAATAAATAAATAAAATAATTAAAATAATTTAAAATTAATTAATTAATTAAGTTTAATTAAAATAAGTTTATCTTAAATCCGTTTCTTAATCTGTGGTCTCGCTTGATCAACACAAAAATCTCACACCCACCTTGATGCCATTTGAAAAGAAAACAAGGCAAAATTTGCAATTAAAACAAAGTAATGGGGCAAACCTGTTGTGTTTCAAATCTAATCTACGCTCATGTCCTGTTATCTTCCAGAATAACTATGAAAGCCTTGTGTCTGTTGAACATCTTTTGTGGCTTCGCTGTGACTACATATAGCTCTCACTGACTCACTACCCTAGGTCTAAAAACAGTGCAGATGTTTTTTTGGAAATAAAGTAATGACTTTGATATCTATCAATTAAAGATGATGTTCTGACTGTGCTGACACAATATTATGAAAACTTAGCTCAAGATCTTTTGTCGTGTACTCATTTCCTTTTGCAGAAACTGATACAGGTTTCTCTTGTTTGTTGGGAATATTTTATGCTTTTTATTTTTATATTCTGTGCATTTTATACAACACGGATGAGAGTATTATAGGACCACTATTAATGACTTGGTGTTTGTTAAAACAGCTCTCTCCCTGTACTTCTCAAGGAACCAACTAGAATAAGTGGCTGTGTGTTATATTATATTATATTACCACATGTATGAAAGTTGATATTTATTAGGGGAAAATCCTAAATGTATCAAATAAATAATGAATAAAAACATTAAGTAAGCTGTGGAATAATTTAATGTCCTATGACTGCAACTCGTATAGTATTATTTAATGAAAATTCATTCATGGAGGAAGAGTTGTGAGACTTTATACCAATTTAAAAATGTGCATTAGAGTAATATGGAGGTATGGTTTTCAACACAAACTTTAGTTCAAATTCTTTAGTGACATGATATTGAATTTGTTGCGCCAAATGTGCTAGTTTAGCTCTCTCTTTCCAACTACTAGCCTGCTTCCTGTAGCAGCTACTGATCCTGGGAAGGACCTTGTTCAGTGAGTTAGGGTAACCTCCAGCATCCCAATGATCTATTGCCCCATGGAATAGGAGAGATACATTTGGGTTATATTCTCTATCCAAAGTCTGTATTTCTCTAGGAGATGCAAGCATCTTTAGAGAGGCCATTTAAAATTAAATCACACATATATCTGAAATACACTTATTTTTTTTCTGATATTAATCAGAGCAGTAGTATGTGCTTCACGAGTGGTAAAAGTGATATGGATCTAACCTCATTTTTTTAAATAAAGTGTCTTTTTTCAAGTTACTATACCTTTAATTGTCCACATTTCTTTGCAGATAATACGTACGTATCAAGTTCAGAAAATGATGAAGATGTATTAGTCACCACAGAGCCAATTCCAATAATTTTTCATCGAATAGCAACAGGTAATAGGAATATACTATTTTTCAAAATTCTGGGTAATTTTTCTTGAATATAGGTAGCTTTATTTTTTTGTTTCTTTTAGCCCATGTAACAGAAGAGGCAAACTGAATACTTAAAAAGCTTGCTCAGGACAATGTAGATCCCATGAAATATATAATGAGAACTGAAGGAGTCTATGTAGTGGCACTTTGGTTTGACCATATTTTTATGACCATATTTCATATTTTATGAAAAATGAGAATAGCATGTATATCATGAAACTTCCTGACATAATATAATTTCAAAATATTCCTTAATTTTCTTGTGAAGAGAGAATCTGAGGAGTGGTTTTTATACTGAAACTTATGAATGTTCGGTAAATAGTATACTGAAAACTGAAATGATGTTTTATAACTTTCAGAATTAAGGAAGACAAATGACACTAACTGTTGCTTATCCATAAAATCCAAATTACAGAAGGAGAATGGAGAGGTATGGATATTGCATTTCATGTTTTATATTTATTAAAAAAGTAATAATATTTTAAATTTACCTTGTATTTATAGTTAATATTTAATATCATCACTGTTTTTGAGGTTAAGATCTCATCTAGCGGATGAAACACAAGCTCGTGGCTGAGAGACTTAATGTGTGGGGAGGGTAGTGACTTAGAATTAATTCAGAGAAGGATGCTCCCTTTAAAATAATAGAATGTCTGGTTTAAATCTAGATCAAATACATACGAAGCTTTACTTACTCTTCACATGTTCGTCAAATACATAAGTGACCTAGGAGCACTTATGTAACTTACAGTTCTAACAACTATATGTGGCTATCCATTGTTTCGATGGCACCCTTACAATTTCACTTGTAAAGGGCGATCTCTTTAGCTAAGGTAGCAAAGAACATGGGTATGTAGAGTCATTATTATGGACCAGTGTTAAAACAACAACAAACTCATACCCCTTTCCTTACCTTTAAAATGTTTGCTTGAATCAGTCGATAAATACTGGGACATTAAGCAAACAAAATGAGTGTAACAGGACCAACAATTCTTTGCTCTTAACACTCTGCACCCAGTACAACCCCCCCTTTCCCTTAGTGTTATTTCACTCCCTCTACTCTTTCTTTATTCTCAGTGAGAACCACAGATTTGGCAGTACTTCTGCTAAAACCCAAAACCCAAATTCCCTTTCTGTAGGTTTTTCTTTTTCCTTAAGAAGTTGAAATTTGTTCTAGAAATTTGGGAATGATTCCAAAACGTTGAATTAATAGATTCCTGTGTCTAATGGAATTTGCCTTTCTCCTAATTATTCTAACAGAGCCAGGGATAGGAATATCATCATTAGTTGTTTTAGATGAGTTTTCATTGTTTGCACTTTAGACACATCACAGCTGTGGTTCAGTTAATTAGAAACTCAAACTTCAAGTTCAAGCATATTTAATTAAATATCCTTTTGACATCTGAAATCTAAAGCAAATAACTTCTATATGCGGAAATTCTCTTCATAATGTAATTCATATTTATTTTCGTAATTTGATTTTTTCATTATTGGAGTTTGAGTGCCTTTTATTTCATACCATTGTGTAGAGTTGGCAGTGGAAATGAGGACAGTCAAGGATAAATAGTGCTGTGGAACTTTTTAATAAAAAAGTTGAATCCGTACGAACTTGTCAGAAGTTCTAACAGAACAAAGCCAAAGTTGTAGTTGATTATACATGGTTTTTTATATACATATCAAATGGTAAATGGTACAACACAAAATCGATGAAATAGAACTTGTAAAAAAGACGTACTTAGAGCTTAATGCACTGACAAAACTGTCTCTTATACTACCTTTTGTTTTTGGTTTGTACTGTACCAAGAATGTTTTTTATATAAAATCCAGGTGATAAGCACAAGATTTCTCTATTATGGCCATTTGCGACTTTCTTTTTCAAAAGAAGGCAAGATGGTTTGACCACTAAAACTTTCTTCTTCTCTTATTTTAAAGGAGTCAAGACAAAATAGTACAGTGGAAGAAGATTCTGAAGGTGATAATGATTCTGAAGAATTTTATTATGGAGGACAGGTGAGTACATCAGACCTCCCAGCTCTCCGCTCTCAGAGTCATCAGTAGCCATCTGTGTCCTAGAGGTTTCCCGTGCTTGTGATCTGAGAGACCTCCGTGTTCGTTCTGTAACTGACTTGGAAATATGCATCATTTCTGTTTCTTATTTGTACATATATTCAGAAACTGAGGTTACTTTGGCGATTCTTTGACTGTCATCGCTCACTTACATTGAATTTATCTTACTTGGTTGCAGAGATTTTGCAGATGGCATTGTATTATGTTTTTGACTTTTACATTTCTTAGGCATGTTGGGCTCCATCAGTGTTTCGAAATGATGACCCTTCTAAAGAAAGCATGGATGGTTAGTTTTAAGTAGTACATGATTAACCTTTATAAAAATTGATGGTCCCTAATTACTGAGCATCCTCAATATTTATATTCATTTTCTCTTCCTCTTTCACTGATGTAAATTGTTTGTTGGAAAATGGTGATGTATATGAAAATGGCATAGCCACATATGCATATTTATAAAAGAATTCACTATTTTTCCAGGATAGCGTTGAAATTTCAAACTGTGCTATAGATTTTAGGATATGGCTGTATAAAGCATCTTGTTCTGGTTCTGTAAACTTCTTAATCAAACATGTTTTGTAACTTGCGTAATGGGAAGGTAGTAGATTAAAGTGGTGCTTTTTTGGGTGTCTGTTGTTAGAGAACGTGTGCATACGCTTGCACACAAGGTGGGGGGAGCAGAGAGAGAGAGAGAATCTTAAGCAGACTCTACACACAGCATGGAGCCCTACACGGGGCTTGATCTCACGACCCGAGCCGAAATCAACAATTGGATGCTTAACTGACTGAGTGACCCAGGAGCCCCTAAAGTCATACTTTAAAGCCAAAATCGTAATTGTGTAAAAGAATGTAAGTCAGTTTACTTTTTTGGAGTAAAAAATCAGTAATTAATCAAGCATAAGAAAGACAGTAGAGATATGGACATATAAATAAAAGTAGGCTGCTTCTCTCCAAGAGTGCCTTTCTTTTTTTTTTTTTTTTAAGTTTTATTTTTTTAAAACATATAATATCTTTTTATCCCCAGGGGTACAGGTCTGTGAATCGCCAGGTTTACACACTTCACAGCACTCACCATAGCACATACCCTCCCCAATGTCCATAATCCCACCCCCCCCACCCCCCCCCCCCATTAACCCTCAGTTTGTTCAAGAGTGCCTTTCTAGCCGTGATGTATTTTCCTAACAATTCTCTAACCAGTGTTGCACTTTAAACTTTAATCATGCAAAAAAATTCTAGTTTTGATTTTTGTTTACACAGCTAATATTTGCAGAGGGGAAGTAAATTTTTTTTTTTTTTTCCAGGACAGATACTCAGTCTAGAAGTTTTCAGGTTATCTGCCAGCCCCTTACTTTAGTCTCTTTTAACATTTGCCTTTTTCTCACATCAAAGTAGTCTAATTTTTTTTTTAACATTTTAATTTATTTATTTGACAGAGAGAGTGAGAAAGCACAAGCAGGGGAAGTAGCAGAAGGGGTGGGAGAAGCAGGCTCCCCGCTGAGCAGGAAGCCCTAGACGGGACTTGATCCCGGGATCTGGGATCATGACCTGAGCCGAAGGCAGATGGCTAACCGACTGTAGCTACCCAGGCACCCCTCTAATTTTACTTTTCAAACATAATAAATTATACAAGACATAGGACATAAGCGAACCTACGATCTTTAGTGAATATACTGCTGTATTCTCTGTATTTTTCAATGAAGATGACAGAGACGATGTCCATGGCAGAACCTGCAGGGGGACCTGCTCAAGAGACAGTTTGCATTTGATTCTTTTGATTCTCTTCACCCCTAAGTCATTTCTGAACCATCTCTTTTCGCCAGGTGAACTATGACGGGGAACTGCACAAGCACCCCCAGCTTGAGGCTGATTTGTCGGCAGTGAGAGAGATATACGGGCCGCACGCAGTTTCTCTCAGGTAAATCAATATCTCTCTGGAATAAAAATTAAAATGATTTGGTAAGTCATTGGGAATTTTCTGTTAAGCAATTTAAGTGGAAATATTCTTGGGCTTAGCTATATTTGAAATTTTTTGAGTCATTCTGCTGTGTTTTTCCTTAGGCAAAATGGTGTATCTCTGGCTGTGTCAATTTTTTTGGTTTTGTTTTTGGTACATGTGGTTTAAGAGTACATTGATGCATGAAAGAAATTAGTTATTTTGGAGAGTTAGTTTGATAAAATATCAGTCTTAAGTAGTGTCGTAATCAATTCCTTAATACACTTGGCTAGCTGGGCCCATGCAGTCAGTCATAAATCATGGACACATCGTGTGAACAATGAAAGTAAATAATGCATAACCACTGGTCTCCAGATCACATTGGGATGTGATTTGACCCCCAAAAAAGAAAGGGAACAAAAGACATAAATTTGCAGTGTTTGTTTGATTGATACTGTATTTTATCTTGCAGTCACTTCATATATAATTTGGTGTTAAATTTAAAGACCATTCTGTATCATTTTTAATTATTCAGAAAACCCCAGTATCCTTACCTACCATTTTCTCTCCTTAATTTAAAAAAGATACTCTTTCCTGTCACTATCCTCGTCTCCCTCCATGAGTCCGATCTGATTATTTCAGATTCTTTTTCTTTGCCTAAAGGGCAGCCTCCACGTTGCCTTGGAATTCCAGACCCCAACCCCAGCCTGACATCGGTTCCCGCCTCATCCACCCAAACCACAACTGTCCCCTTTCTCCAGACGCGCTCTGTTCTCTCTTGACTTTGGGCGTTTGCACAAGCTGTTTGCTTACCAGTGAGGGCTTCACTCATAACCCCGTTGGTGTCTTTATTCAAGCCAAAGTCCAAAGGCCAGCTTCTCCAGCGCCGCCTCTGAATTTCCAGTGCAGACTGGTGGTTCTGCCCTCAGACTCCCATCGCATTTGGCTTTCACCTCATTGGTTATGCTTCTCAACTTCTCCTGTCTTATCATTATTGGTTTAGTTCTCCCCATCTAGACCCTAAATTCTGTGAATGCAGGGACCGTGTGCTTTTTTGTCGGTTTGCTTTATTTTGTTCTGTTTTGGTTTTTTATCATGCTTATATTTTGGTACTTAATACAGCACAGGGAGTATATGAAATATGGGCTGATGGATTCTGGATCGTTTATAGTGGCATCCATGAAAGATGTTCACATTATCTGGTTACTTTCTCTTCCATGGACGTTCTTCAGAGAGCCAACCAATCTAGATTTTCAGAGATTTTCAGAGAGCCAACAAATATTTAAAGTTGGGAAATACAATACAGCTATAATTGATCATTATCAACGGTTTCATTTTAACTTCAGAAACAAACTCACCACCACCTGCCCCCTCAGTAATTTGGGGCTAGAGACACAGATCTTGTCTGTCCTACTCATGGTGCTCTGGTGGGCTGCTGTGGACTGAGAGTGATTGGGATTATACTTGGAAAAGCAAATCTTTGCAATTTTCAAGGTTTTAGCAGATTGGCTGCAATTATTTCTCAGTTGATCTCTACTGTGGCTCCTGGGTAGAGGATATGGTATTCAATAAGTGTGTTAGAATGAATAAATGAAGAAGGCAGTAGGGACTTATCCATAAGTGGTCCAAAACAATGATTAATTTTTTAACTTGAGACAAAATTTGTTTGACCACTTGAAACTTTGATCACAGTAATTTAATCCCCTCCCCTGCTTTAAAAAAAAAAAAGACTGGGATAAAGTTAATCATATAATATAGTAAGTTCAATTTCTTTTAATTTGCACTACCTATTGTTTTGGGGATTGACTTAGCACATGTTGATTGCTTTTATAAGCATTTATAAGGATTTTTCTTAAACACATATTTCCATGTTAAGCTGTAATTACATTGCCATATATATATATATATATATATATATATATGCAATTTTTTTGTTTCTTCAGCAAGAATTTAAGTACCAGTGATCATCTCTATTAGTGTTTTCCATTATTAATAAAATTATTGATAATTTATCTCCTCTTAAAATTAGATAAATATTTGTAAGTTCATTCAACTGAAATATTGAAAGTCATAAATGGCTTTGATTTTTTTTCTCCTTTCCTATTTCACTTATAAGTTTTGATTCACTTTAAATCTTTTTGAATATGAGCCATGTTCTTGCCTGCTCTAGACTTTCTATAGCTACAGAGGATGTTTCCAGAATAAAGAATCTCCCAGAGGCCTCATGATGTGAAGTATGAATCACAGTAAGACTAGTCTGATTTACTTGAAATAAATACAAATGAATTTACTGTCTAGTATCAAATACTGAAGCTTGGGCACATGGCAAGAGAAGTAGTTAGGCAGAAGGTCTTGGACTCTTCTTCCTTACAAAGTTATAAGCCTGTTGAAAACAGACTGTTGTAATTAGCTGTTCTTTTACTTAATTGAAGTTTATAAGAACTTAATGGAGTTTGAAGAACAAAAGTACCTCAATATGCATAGTAGGCTATTTGGTGTCTTTTTTTTTTTTTTTAATGTGATGTCTAATGAGAAGGGCAGCTAACCACATCTAAGTTCTCTGTAAGAGATGAAAATAATTGGCATTGCCCCACTTGAGACAGAACCTCTTAAAGTAGGTTGAAGGAGGAGATAGAAATGGGGACTTATGGCCAGTTCATTACTGAAGGAGGTAATTTCAGCTCTATGTGGCCATATCATTCAAAAGCAGAATCCTGGCTGTGTTGAGCCATACTTATAAACACTGATGAGAATTCCAGTTCATACGCTTTTGTATTGAAGTGAGTTAGGTATCTGGAGAAACAGGATAAACTATCAGTTTATCAGTCTGAATGAACATGTCTCGCCTTGAATCATGCAGCAAAGTGAGGGTGTTTTATGTGTTTCATTATAAATTTTCTCCTCTAGTCATTACTTTAAAAAAAAATGATCAGTGCCATCTGAAAACAATTTGAGGTTAATAGTTTTAGAAAGGTGTGGGGAATTATAAGTCACAAAATTCTCACGTGGTCAGGAATGAAATGATTCTGACAGTTTGCTTGTAGTATTTCAAACGTCTAGCCCATGTGAAATAACCTTTGCTTTATGATCATACCACCTTCTGTTTTAAAAGTCAAAGCTACTGAGTAATATTCTAGCCTTTTTATGGTGACTAAGGCTTAATGAAGGTTGGAAGTTTGCAAGATTGTAAGTCTTTTGTACTTGTTAAAAAGATTTTATTTATTTGAGAGAGAGAGTGAGAGAGAGAAAGGGTGTGCATGCGCACGTGAGTAGGGGGGAGGGGCAGAGGGAGTGGGAGAAACAGACTCCCTGCTTAGCATGGGGGCTTGATTCCCAGACTCTGGGTTCATGACCTGAGTCAAAGGCAGATGCTTAACCAACTGAGCCACCCAGGCACCCCATCTTTTGCATTTTGATCACCTTTTATGGATGGACAATTGTAATAGGGCCTTTTGGAGTGTATGTTCTGGAGGATAGGGAATACTGAGGAGTTTTTAAGGTTGAGGAGGTTATGCTACTATATTCAGGCCCCCATACTTCCTTGAGAGAGGGAAGAGGGGAGAGAAAGATAAAGAAAGGAGAGGAGAGGGGAGGGAAGGGGAAAAAAGCCACACAAATCAGGATTTCTGCATTTCCATTTGTGGTGACCAGTAGGCTTACTTACAGATCTTCTGGTTCCTGCCTTCTGGTATTTGGCAGCATTTTATTTCCCTGCCCCTTTTAATGTGATGAGTGGACACAGCTACCTCTGGCCAGTGAAATGTGAGCGTGAGCTCTGGTGCAGGAGCTCCCGTTTCCCCCGGACTCTGTCACTCCGGGCCCCTGAGTGACCACAGTGAGTAGCAACTCCCCTTCCTCCCTCCAAGTCCATGGTAAACGTGTAGCGTTACGGAGATACAAATCTTTCTTGTGTGTTCAACCACTGAGAGTTGAAGAAGTTTGTCACTGCAACATAATTTAACCTACGTTGAAGTACGTCATTCCTCAAAAGTTCTGGTGTTGGATATTTGTAGTGTTCTTTCCAGCTATGGATTCTCCCACTCCTGCTTCTGGAGCCTCCAGAATAATGGTCTGACTGAAAACCAGGAAGCACCTAGAAGAAAGAAAGGGGGGGGGAGAGTATTTTCTGAAAATACTGGCTCATAACCTAGGCGAAAGCGTCAGAATGTCAGATCCCAGACAGTCACCCCTATTCCCAACGCCTTTAATTTCCTGAAGCCAAACCAAGGATTTGTCAGCGGAGGGGGAATTGTAGCAACTGTATCTCTTATACAGTGTAATTTTTATCTCGGCTTCCTTTTTTTATCTGGATCTAGTTTTTAAATTCTTCTCAGTCCTGTTGCCTTTTAGAGAAACTTCAGAGCACTTTGGATACAGTCTTGCAAATGCTTTAATCTACCAAGGTTTATTTCTGACTACTGAGTTTGCATATTTCTTGGCCCATTCACAAACATCTCTCCCACACTGAGCAAAAAACACACATTGAGTAGGCATGCACAGACAGGGAATGCTGTGGAGTTTCAGATGTCATAGAAGGTGTGTGTTTCCTCACAAAATCTATTTCTTCTCAAAATGTAACTGACCAGTCACTGAATGCGAGAAATAACTAAATAGCAATAATTTTATTTCCCAAGAACCTGTGGTAGAATTTCATGTATGTGTGTATAATGTTTAATTTCCTTGACAGTTAATAAGGGAAGGCTAGATATCTAATAATGTTTTTATAACCAGCACAATCACTGCTAATTCTGATCAGGTGGTGTTATAAAACATCACGACAGTATAATGAATAAGCTGTAGTTTTATAGAGCAAGGAGGACCAGCAGGGATGGTCTAACATTTACTATATTGTGAACAAGGATGTTGTGTCTCCCTAATGAGCGTGTTATCTTGATTAGTTCCATTAAAAGTTAGGAGAAAAAATTGCCAAGAATTCTAATACATGGTGCCCTCAAAAATACACGTTCGTAGAAAAATACATTTCATACGTATGTTCTTAAATGAACTAGGTTACGTATAAATATCCAAAATCAAATGACCAGATTTCAAGATGCATTAATTCAAAGAGTAGCTCACATGTCTGGAGAAAAATTTGTGAAGCGATCTTTTCTCAGTTCCAGGGTGTAACAACTACATCAGATCATTTCTATGTTGTTCTCCTTATCTTGAAAAAGCATTCAGGTTCAGTTTGATGCAATCTTTTCACAGTGAATAAATATAGGCAGTGCATGAAATTATTTTGAGTTATTACAAACCTGATACAGCATTCAGGACACAATCAGATATCTGGCTTCACAATTCAAGTTGCATTCATATTTCAGGCTTTTGACTTGATTCTGCATTTGCTATTCATGAGATCCAGGGCAACTGAAAGTTATTCAGATATAGAAGCAATCCTGATGACTGGGTCACTGCATCTGGACAAACTGTAATCACGCTTTGTAATCTCGCAGTGGGAAATGTGAAATTACGGGCATTATATAAAAAGGGCATCACAACGGAAATTGGTTTGCATATACGCAGCGCTGTTGTGAATTCTTTGAAGTGTGGCATAAAAACAAAAAGTGTAACTATTTACAGATCTACACCTGCAGAATCCAGTTAATTGCAAACCTTTAATGCCTCTGCCTCCTTAAAATTCTGTTTGTGTTCTGTCTTTGTGCTCTGCTGTGGCGGGGAAGAGCACTTATAAACCTTAATTTCCTTCTTTCTGTTGTTGTTGAAATAAATTGACGGTGTTAGAAATTGGGAAAACACTAACCACAAAAATGTTGAAGAAATCATATAAAGAAGACTTAAAAATTCTCATATTAAACTTTTTAAAAGAATACATGTCATTTTAAAAGAATACATTCTGATCATAACTTTATAATAAATTCTGCTGAAGTGGTCTGGAGATCTCTGAAGAAAATAGCTGTGGGTAAGGTTCTTACTGATTTTTCTTGTCTCTGATTCCCTTCTTTCTGCCTCTGATTGCATCACACTCTGGCTATTGTAACTAAATCCAAACCTGAGTTATTCTCCCTTGGGAAACTGGCAGTGACTGACCAGAGCAAACGAACACCTGGTGATGATGACAATGTGGGGAGTTGTCACTGTGATAACCTGGCTGGTGTGATTAGAAATGGTTATAACCTTTTAAAATAGTAATTAGATGACATATATCAAGACTCCCAAATATAATTATATTATTTATTTTGTGCAGTAATTCTAGAAATTATTCTTTAAGAAGACAGATGCACATAAATTTTTATCCAGAGGACTTTTTATCAATATTTACAGTGTTAAAAAAAAAAAAAATCAATAGCAGCCCCATAATTTATCATTGTTTTATTATAGAATTGTATTTATACAAATACAACCATTTAATTCGATGATTTGGAAGAATATTTAATAGAGAAAAACGCTCATTTTAGAAGAAGTGAAAGAAAGAGGAGGACAAATTTTTATATATAAAAATATGGCATGAGATAAAAGCAAATACATGGAATGAGATATAAGCAAAGATAATTATCTCTGAGTGGTAGTATTATAAGTTGCTTTTGTATGTTTTTCTGACATTTTACAAAATGAGCTTATATTACCTTTGTAGTCAGAAAAAGGAGATATGTTTTTAGAAAACCCATTAATTTTTTATAAAATTTTATTTATTTATTTGAGAGAGAGAGATAGAGATAGTGAGAGAGAGCATGAGCATGGAAGAGAGAGAGAAGCGGTCTCCCCACTAAGCAGGGAGCCCCATGTGGGGTTTGATCCCAAGACCGTGGGGTTTTTTTTATAAAATAAATTTTACCCACAATCTACAGTTAATAAATAAATACTTTCTTCTTTTTTTTTTTTAAACATTTTTGGTTTTTCTATTTCTATTTAATTTAAAAAAGAGCATTTCAGTTTCCATACATTTTTGGTAATCTACTTGCTCCAAATAGTATATTTTGGAACATATCCCTCTGGATAGTACATATTTTTATATCAATTTCTTTAGTAATGGATAAAAAATTTTTCTGATGTATCAGTGTCCTATATTTTATTTAAGTGTTCCCTTGTTATTTAATATTCATTTCTGTCCCCAATTTCTGCACTCACAAACATCTTTCTAGGCAGAAGTTTACACATACTTGTTACAGGTTCACCCCACTGGAATGTCTACTGAACATCATTTGTAATTGGTCTTCATCACCACATTTAGTGGTTCTTTCTTTAAATTTGCCTACACAAAACATGTTTGACTTTTATATTTATGAATAATTTGCTGATGTTCCAGATTGACAAATTATGACCACTGGGTCATGGGGCCCATTTTTGAAAAGGCTGTGAGATACAGATAGTGTTTGCTTTTTAAAAAGGGTTTAAAGAAAAACGAAAACAGAGGAATATGTGACAGAGACCAGAAAAGGCCTGAAAAGGCTAAAATACTTACTTTCTTGACTTTTACAGGAAAAAGTTACTGACCCCTGAACCAGAGGCATTAAAGAGAGATTTATTTGCTTGGTCCTTATTCTTGGCATAGTATTTGTATAATTTCGTAAATAAATTGGTGTATTTAAAATCTAATTGGCATATCATATCATGTGTAAATTTGCACAAGGTTATAAGTGTTCTTATCCTTTGTAATAACAGATGTTTTAAGCCATGCAATGTTTTTTAGAAATCCATTCCTATGTGAATAGTTTTTATCCCTTTTCCTTATGTAATCTAAAAATATTACCGTCAAAGAATAAAAAATACAATTTCATAAATAGTAAAAATGTGGTCAGTGTTTTGATATATATTAACTTTCTAATTTTTTAAAAAGATTTTTATCTATTTGTTTGAAAGAGAGGGAGAGAGCACAAGCAAGGGGGGGAGGGAAAAGCAGACTCCCCGCTGAGCAGGAAGCCTAACTGGGCCATATCCCAGGGTCCTGGGATCATGAGCTGAGCCGGAGGCAGATGCTTAACTGACTGAGCCACTGAGGCCCCCCTCTAAATTTTTTTTATTTTTTATTTTTTTAAAGATTTTTATCTATTCATTTGAGAGAGAAAGCTCACGAGCAGAGGGGTGGGGCAGAGGAAGAGGGACAACCTGAACAGGGACCCCTTTTTTGATATATTTTTAAGGGGATGATGGAGAAAGCACAGAGGCTGAGTTCTTACATTCTAATATGCTGTTTTTTGTGTATCATAGACATAAAGAATAAAAAAAAATACCTTTCACTTTCTTCATTCATCAAATTACATAAAACCATTTAATCATTAAAGGTGTCCTCTCTGAACCCTAGACAATTGCCACAGTTTTGTATTATGTTAGCATTATTTGATACATAATGCACAGAAATTGTCATTGAGGACTAACTGTGTGCCAGTTACTGTCCTACACACAGTTTTGAAATTGAACATGAGTTCAATGCCTGACTCCCCCACTGACATTGACTTTTTGGCATCTGATTTCAATTCTCTAAACCTCAGTTTCCTTGTTTGCAAATGAGGATAGCAATAGTATCCTCGTCATAAGACTATGATGAGGACCCCGCAAATTGCTAGTTGATTGAATACTGAACGGATTAATCACCTGCATAAATAAAGAGGATGTATGTCTTTAAATCTTGGCTCTGCTACAGAGTGATGATGGGTAAGTTACTTTGTTACTCTGGGTCTCAGTGTGTATATAAATTAAAGGTAGTAGTGGTACGTGTAGTGGACTGTGGTCCCATGGATGTAAAATTCTTAGAATAATTTCTGGCACATGGGTGCTTAATAAATATTGGCAGCTACCTGGTATCATTTCACTTATCTGTATAGTTTTATTTCTCACTGTATATAGCATTTGTAACTTCATACTCTCATAAAAATATTAAAAAATACAGACATGTGTATTTAGAGAATATGGGAAAACTATTGTTTTTACGCTCTTTCATGTATGCTGGTTTATGGCACTCCCAGGGCTGGAGAAAAGTTGGTTTCTAGAATGTCTTCCTGTGGCACATAACTGTTGTTACTTGTTTTAATTTTGATATATCAGATTTCTAGAACTGCCTCTCAAAACACAATGACATTTAAGTGGCAAAGCCCATGGATCCAGTCAGAGCTGGTGATGTTTAACACGGGAGGGAAAATCATGGGCACATCATTGTCATGGTGAATTCTTTCTCCACCCTTTCCCCCATAAGAAACTCCTTTTTTGCCTTTGAAGCAGCTCTTCCTCTCAGAGAGCACACTGCACACCAAGTGGTCCTATGAGAGGATGGTTGAATTTGCCACAGAGAACTGGGGATGTTTGAAACTACGAAGCAAACAGTTCTTGAATTTATGTATGCAAAAGCATGTTCGTAAAAATAGATGTCTAGACGGCATAAATAGTCACAAAAGATGACAGTCCAACTACATGAAATTAGTTAATTCATGTCCCCATTCACTTCTGAGCTCTCTGTAGAGATCAGGGAAAAGAGAGATTGAATTTTGACTTAAACGAGCACACATTATCTTTTAAGGAAAATGGAAAAATAAGTGTTAATCTTTGCTTTCAGGGAATACGGAGCCATTGATGATGTAGATATTGATCTGCATATTGATGTTAGCTTTCTGGATGTAAGTATCAATTTATACAGTATGATTGATACATTCAAAAACATTTATTGTTTTCCAACAGTATTGTTGGAAAAAATTAAATATTCGTTTCTCATATTATTAGTATATGCTGATTTTGTTAAAGTGATTGTAAAGAAATACAATGACTGGTTGAAGAAACGCATGATATATATATTTTTACATTGGTTCTTTTAATATATTCTGAAATTTATGGGCTCTTATTATAGTACTTCATTATTTCTTAAATTTTCACTTCAATTTTCCTATGTAGAAGGCAAAAATTAAGAATACTTTGACATTCTTCTCCAAACCATTAGGTCTTGAGGTAATTTGTGAGACTTATTGATTTTTGTATTTCTTCAAAGTAAATTAAAAAAAAAAGAAACAGTTTCATTTTGGAAAAAAAAGAAATCAAGAATTCCATAAAATTAATTCATCTTTTAATATATTTGCACAGGAGGAGATTGCTGTGGCTTGGGAAGTGATTCGAACAGAACCTATAATTGTCCGACTACACTGTTCACTTACACAGTATTTAAATGGCCCAGGTTAGTTTTATTTCTGTGTTTATTATTTTGAATATGAATTAGTTGTGCATTGTGCATTCAACAGAATATTCATTTGGTAATCCTGAGCATAATTGCAGCTATCTTGATAATGGTATTTAAATATACTTGCATCCTAACAAAGATGGTTTATTGCCAGTATAACTTTTTTTTTAAGATTTTATTTATTTATTTTACAGTCAGAGAGACAGTAAGAGAGGGAACACAAGCAGGGAGAGTAGGAGCGGGAGAAGCAGGCTTCCTGCCTAGCAGAAAGCCCAATGTGGGGCTCCATCCCAGGACCCTGGGATCATGACCTGAGCCGAAGGCATCTAGACACTCAACCGACTGAGCCACTAAGGCGCCCCTGCCAGTCTAACTTTTGGAAACAGAAACATACAACATTTAGTTGTATAGATTTCAGAAGTTGACAAGTTGCTGTGAAACAAGCAAATAAAACCTAAAAGAGAACTTTGCTTATAGTAGGGGCTCAGAGGGTGTATTTTGGGTTACCCTTAGATTTAATTATTTATGTTTCTGATTCTGGGATTCAGTTTTAATGTTTACTTATCCCACCTTTGATTACTGATGAATTTAGCCTAACTATAAATACAACATATTTCTATTTTTGAAAATGGAAATCTTAGTAATACTTTTGTTTTCCACTATCTTAAAGGATGATTTTGTTATATCTCAAGTGATAGTTTTTACAGCAAAGGACATGATTATTAGATCTTGCCAAGACTTACTGAATTACAGTATTTTCCCCTACCAGATACACATGTGTGTGGGCCCACGTGCACACACACACATACACTGTATCTACTCATTTTGCTCCAGTTGCATACTGCTGAATAACAAACCACCCCTAGACTTAGTGGCTTAAAACCACCACTTACCATCTCTAACTGTTCTTCGAGCTCAGATGAGCAGTTTTTGCTTGGAGTCGCCCATGCCTTTGAAGTCAGATGGTAGGTAGAGCTTATGTCGACTAAAGGCTCTGCTAGGTCTGATGCTCAAGGTGCAGAACTTTGGGGTAGCAGTGGATGTGTGTGTCATCTTGGAGCTCAGCTGCGGCCCCTTAACTTGAGTGTTGACCTTACACATGGCCTTTTCATGTGGCTCGGGTTTCTTGTATCATGGGTACTGGGGTCTGAAAGCAAGTGTTGCAAGAGACAGGCTGTGGATGCCACCTGGAAAAAGGCACAGTGAATCTTCCACTATATTGTATTGTTCAAAGCAGTTGGAAAACCCACCCAGAATCAAGGGATGTGGATATAGATAGCACCTCTTGTAGTCATGGCCATCTTCACACATCCTTTACTGTGATGTTGGCGCATCTTTCTTTAGGCATTTAAGAAACTTATGTCTACTATTAGCTTTTACATGAGAAAAATCCCTGACCTTCCAAGCTGATGAAATACATAGAAAGGGTGCCTGGGTGGCTCAGTTGGTTAATCGACTGCCTTCGGCTGAGGTCATGATCTTAGAGTCCTGGGATCGAGTCCCACATCGGGCTCCCTGCTTAGCAGGGAGTCTGCTTCTCCCGCTGACCTCTCTTCCTCTCATGTTCTCTCTCTCTCATTCACTCTCTCTCTCTCAAATAAATAAAATTTAAAAAAAAAAGAAAAAGAAATACTTAGGAAAATTTCTCATTTTGAAAAAGTTTCTGTTGAGTCACCTCTTTTCTATTTTTGTATAATGATTTCTACTTAAATAATCAACTCTTAATATAAAAGCCTATGATTTAATGCCAGGCAAAGACAACTAGATGTTACATATTTTTATTGTGATTATTTCAAATGTATAGAAATGCAATAAAAAAGAAAAAGAATTACTCAAAATCCCTCTATAGTGAGAAACCTGCAAATAGTTTGGTGTTTCTCTTTTCTGTGCACGCTTGGCTCATTTTCATAAAGTTGACACTGAACTGCGTAGTTTATGCACCTTATTATTATGTCATGAGACTGTTCTCAAGTCATTAAATATTCAGAAATTGAATAAATTTAATATCTGCACAATATTCCAGCTTATAGTTATATGTGTTTTTGCTGTTCCCCCAAATACTGTGCTGTATGGTTAATTATTTTTCTTTCTTTAGGGATTTGATACGTGACCATTTGGTTTTATTCTGTTTGTGGTTAAAAGAAAGAGCAGCTCTTATGTTTGAACTTTTTTTTTTTTTTTAAATTATCAGGGTTAGGAACAAAATTGGGTCAGTTCATTTCTACTCACACTACTCCATCTGTGTGAGATGAGAATGTGGCATGCTTTTATGTAATCTTACCACTGTTACTCATTTTTTAAATATAATCTTGAATTTTAGGCAGAGATTTTCCTTCTCAGTGTCTCTAAAGATTTGCTATATTTGCATGGTTTTGTAAATTTTTTTTGTAAATGTTCTAATAACTATATTCTAATTCACATTTAGATGATTTTATTATTTGGTACACTTTCTTTGGTATTACAACTCATCCATAATTTAGTCCTTCTGTTTTCATTTCTATTGGTTGATTTGCCTACCTAATAGTTTATAAACCAAGGAAACATGAGGATTCTTCTTTTTTTCAAACCTCAGAATGACTCTGATTTTGTGAATGAGACAAACTTGACCAACTATAAGTTTATGGGGTCATAATAGTTCCCCCCCAAAAAGGTAAAAATACTTTAGAAACCTCTGCTAGCTTGTGTCTGACGTGTTTTAATTTTGTTCATTTGTAAGACATCTACTTTGGTGTTGCTTGTGCTTTGTTATGTGTACTTATTGGGCTATTTTTTCCCTCTTTTTCCTTAATATTATTTTTTATGTATATATTTTCAATGGGTACACTTTGGTCTTAATTCACCTCAAGCAAGTTTTATGAAGAATCCAAGGTTGAAACTGACCTAGTTAACATCTGTTTTTGAAAAAATTCATTGCTAGGTTTTGGAAATGTATGAATAATACTTATTTGAGCTATAATATTTGATCAGGGCTAATCTGACAAAATATCTGTAAGTGAACAGGAATGATAAGAATTAAAGAAATACACCTCCTTATCCACTTTAATATTAAAGATAAGGACTATTTTCCTTGTATATGAGGAAATACATTTTAAATAAAAAGACATGATTATTCTTATTATGTATTTTTTCAGAATTGCTCTTGTATAAGCCTAGTTTCTGATTTGAAGGGCAAGGCTGCTTTTGGTTTAATGCGATAAATAACCAACATTATTAAAAATGTTTTTCTGTACAAATCATCTCATCATTGGTACCTGTACATGTATGTGATCAGTGTTAGAATCATTTCCATGTATCTTAAGCATCCCTCACTTACTGCCTTCCCAACCTATGTTATATGAAAGACTAGGAAAAATCGAATAACTTTCATCTTTTTTTAAAACACGAAAATGTTTCTGTAGCACATTCTGTCAAGTTCTTCCTCAGTCTCTTGTCCCTAAAAAATGAACCCTCTTGGGGAATTATTTGGTTATTTTAAGGTAACTTTTAAATAAATTTAGGAAGAATAGATATTTTTATATTCACTTTTCCTTTAAAGGAAGACTTGTTTGTTGTTTTTAGTTTTAGGTATCAGTACTGTTCTGTGTTTTTTGTTTTCTGTTTTTCTGCATGAGGTCAGTATAGCTAAATTTATTCATGAGTACTTGTTTGTTTAATGGGACTTTTATATTCCAGTTTATTTTCTAACTGATCATTAGTTATCAGAAAGCTATTACTTGAGGAAATTTTTATAAAAATTGGGTGCCTGGTGGCTTAGTTGGTTAAGCGTCGGACTCAATTTCCGCTCAGGTCATGGTCTCAGGGTTATGAGATTGATCCCCACATCAGGCTCTGCACTGAGTGTGGAGTCTGCTTAAGATTCTCTCTCTGCCCCTTCTTCCTGCTCACACACATACACACACACACACACACACACACACACACACACACACACACGCTCTCTCACTCTATCTCTCAAAAAAAAATTATACAAATTAATCTAAAACATTTTTAGATTTACAGAAAAATTGCCAAGGTAGTACTCCGTGTCCCCATACACTCTGCATCCAGTTTCACTGATTATTAACATCTTCTGAATACATTCAAGTTAATTAATAGTAATAATTAATTTCATTAATTTAATGATAAGTTTTATCACTTGAATCTTGGAACATTTTTGGAAGTACCATCTTGTTAGCTCTTTTAGTATATTCTATAATTTAGGTCATCCAGATTTTATACTACTAGTTGAGTCAGTGTTTGTAACTTACATTTCCCTAGAAGATTTATCCTTTTGGTAAAATATTGATGTTTATTTTCTAGTCATTCACAGTCTGAATGAGTTTTGGTCTTTGTATCATTTATTTCTAGGAATAATTTATATATCCTGGGTAAATATTTGTGTCTATTATATCTCTTTACTCTCCCTCTCTCTCTCTCTCTCTATGCATCTTATACAGTTTCTTCCAGTAATAATTTCAGTTCTTCTAGTGCATTTTGGATTTTTCTGCATTTTTAAAAAAAACAGGTCCCTTTTGTTTCTCTGCTTCCATCTCCCCAGTTATTTTTTTCCATCTACCTGGGAAGAAATTGTGTCTTCTTAAATCTTCCAAGAGAGCATAGCAAGTTCCACTTTTGTCATCTTTCTCTTAAAAAAAAAAAAAAAAAAATCTGCTGAGTTTCCAAGATGTTAGGATTTTTTTATTCATTTTTGAATTTCTGTAGCCCTAGGTTTGGGACAGGAGGGATTTGAGTGATGTCCACTCATTTCCTCAGTCTGTACCTATGGATTGGAATGCTTTTGGAAAAGGAACTGATTGATGATTCCAGCACCAATTTTCTTTGATGAGTGGAGTGTTTGTGTCCCCGAGTAACAGCCAACCCAGGGAGTGAGGAAATTGAGGGTGCCGGTTTGGTTTCCAATATGGGACATGTGTGGTCTGAGAATGTCCTGTTAACAAGACGGTTTACCACCTCCACCGATCCAGACCACAGCATCTCTTGCCAATTACTTTAATAAGTTCCTGAATGATTTTCCCACTTCTCCCCTTGTTTTCTACAGAGATCTTATGCTGCCACACCTGTGGTCCTTCTCAGATCTCCGCTTCTAAAGTGATACCTTGTTCACTGCTCTGTGGCTCCACTGGTCTCTTTGCTGTTCCTAGAATATTGAGGCACATTTCTCCCTCAGGGGCAGTGCCATTGTGATTTCCCCTGGATAGGACACTTTTTTCTTCTGCCATGCTATCAAGTGCTGGAACATATTTTTCCCATGTAACTTTTACTCCAAGACCCTTTCCCTTCTTTATTTTTCCCCAGAACCTTTACCACCATGTGGTAGTCTATCTGTCTGGTTTTTGTTTGTCTCCTTCCACTAGACCAAGGCTTCATGGGGACAGGGATATTTGTGTATGTGGGGTTTTTTTTGTTTTGTTTTGTTTTTTGCCATTCTATCTATAATGATTGGCACAGTGGACACTCAGATAGATATTCTTTAATAAACCCATGAAGAATGAATGGTGAGTGACTTTTTCAGAGATTATTAAATTCATAAACATCATAGTTATTAGCTTACAGAAATGCATGTACCTGATAAAAATACATGACAGGCCCCCTAGTGAAAGGCAAGTCTCTTATATCTCATCATCCATTGTTTTATTGCAAAAAGAAAAAAAAGAGTGTTTTGTTTATACAAACATGCCTCTTCCACTTACAGAATCATGTACAAACTGTCCTACATATTGCTATTTACACTTACATATTTTTGGCGATTCTTCATCATTATACATATGATAATCTTATATGCACATATGTTATATGTTAGTGTATGGTATCTAATGACCAAGAATGATCTCCAAAATATATATATATATATATATATATATATATATATATGAAGCATAAATAGCAATGTATAGGACTGGTGTATGCTATTTTAAAATATGTATGTGTGTATAAATACGTTTTACATACTATATAATATATAAATGTATAATATATTTATGTATGTGTACATAATGTACTGTATCATATATATTCCTTTTTGGTCTTTTCCCTGGCTGATGGTTAAATTTCAGCTCCACATTTCGACTGATTATTTTTTCCTTTGCAGTGCCCACTGTTGATGTCTTTCAGATTTCTACAAAAGAGCGATTTGGACTGGGACATCAGCTGAAAAAGTAAGTTTCCCAAGGGAAAAAAAAATAAATTTCTTTGAAAAAGAATTGATTTCTCATTTTGCTCACTCCTTTCCCCTGTTTCTTATCAAAAGAGCTTTTTGAAGTGAGAGCCTCGGGAGAGGAACTCATCTGAGGCTAAGAGCTGCATCAGTAGTGTAGCGGGCAGAGCTCCCCACTTGAAGCAGCCGCCGTCCTTGTTTGCCTGCCCAGGTCCAGTCTCTTCCCTCCCTGCCCTTGCCTATGGAGATTGATCTGTGTGGGTGCAGGTTCTAATGTGTCGCTGTGGCTATAGGTGACCAACAGAGGAGGAAACAGTGTAAGAAGGGAGTATTTACTGCCTTTGATTTCCACCCTAAGAGGTCACCTTGAGTTGACTAGCCCTTCAAATGAAGCTTTCTTCTCTGCTCTAGGCCATAGCCTATGCATAACTCTCTTTCTTACTGGGTTCCATTACAGTTTACCTCTGCTTGTTCTTGGGGCCTAGAGGTGGTAACAGTCAACAACCACTGGCCCTGCCTGACTGCACTGTGCTTAGCTCCTCTGCTTACACTCTTAAAATGATCATTCCTTTTTTAAATAAACCCTTTATTTCCTCTTTAGACCTTGTCTAATGCAATGAATTAATTTATATTTTATGAGCATAAAATTACTCCAGTCAAAATGACTTTTAAAACATGGTAGCGTATAGTTAAAATTAAATTTAGTAAATCCTATACTATATACATCAGCTATAAAAATTTGTATTACTGGGACTTCTGGGTGGCTCAGTCGGCTAAGTGTCTGCCTTCGTCTCAGGTCACGATCCCGGGGTCCTGAGATTGAGTCCTGCATCGGGCTCCCTGCTCAGCAGGGAGCCTGCTTCTCCCTCTGCCTGCTGCTCCCCCTGCTTGTGCTCTCTCTCTCTGTCTCACAAATAAATAAATAAAATCTTAAAAAAAAAAAAAAAGAATTTGTATTACTGGAGAATTCCTAAAGGATTATTTATCCTTATGAATATACAAATTTTACTTCAATTTAAATTTATCATTAGATTATTATATATTTAAACACATGGTTTACACCCTCCACGATGATTCAGTTCATGCATTCACCTGTATTTTAATGAATTTAAATTAGGCATCAGACATTAGTCTTTATTGAGCAATGTTCTAAGAGAAAGTACTTTGAAATTTTTATTTCATTTACTACATAGAGAATGTATTGCGGTCATTTTACTTGAGATTATTGATGTAAGAGAAAGCTTGTGTGTGTTATAAAGGGTTGTACATATTATGGAGCTCTAGAATTGTCTTAAGTTTTTATGACTTGACATTGTGCAAATGTGAGTTATAGGTGGATCACATTTGAAAGGAAATTAAGATACGGGAGTATTCTTGCAAATTCCCAGTGTTGGGTTTAAATATGAATATATAAAAATTAGATAATAAACCCTTAATGTTCTGAATTGCACATCTCTAAAACTAAATTTACAACATATGTTTAGCACATTGTAGAATGCCATGTGGCTTCTTTATAAGCACTTAAAATTTTTCTTATTTTTCTGCACTAGGATTAAGTGTGCTTTTCCAGTGGAATTGCCCCCCATTAACCCTCAGTTTGTTCAAGAGTGCCTTTCTAGCCGTGATGTATTTTCCTAACAATTCTCTAACCAGTGTTGCACTTTAAACTTTAATCATGCAAAAAAATTCTAGTTTTGATTTTTGTTTACACAGCTAATATTTGCAGAGGGGAAGTAAATTTTTTTTTTTTTTTCCAGGACAGATACTCAGTCTAGAAGTTTTCAGGTTATCTGCCAGCCCCTTACTTTAGTCTCTTTTAACATTTGCCTTTTTCTCACATCAAAGTAGTCTAATTTTTTTTTTAACATTTTAATTTATTTATTTGACAGAGAGAGTGAGAAAGCACAAGCAGGGGAAGTAGCAGAAGGGGTGGGAGAAGCAGGCTCCCCGCTGAGCAGGAAGCCCTAGACGGGACTTGATCCCGGGATCTGGGATCATGACCTGAGCCGAAGGCAGATGGCTAACCGACTGTAGCTACCCAGGCACCCCTCTAATTTTACTTTTCAAACATAATAAATTATACAAGACATAGGACATAAGCGAACCTACGATCTTTAGTGAATATACTGCTGTATTCTCTGTATTTTTCAATGAAGATGACAGAGACGATGTCCATGGCAGAACCTGCAGGGGGACCTGCTCAAGAGACAGTTTGCATTTGATTCTTTTGATTCTCTTCACCCCTAAGTCATTTCTGAACCATCTCTTTTCGCCAGGTGAACTATGACGGGGAACTGCACAAGCACCCCCAGCTTGAGGCTGATTTGTCGGCAGTGAGAGAGATATACGGGCCGCACGCAGTTTCTCTCAGGTAAATCAATATCTCTCTGGAATAAAAATTAAAATGATTTGGTAAGTCATTGGGAATTTTCTGTTAAGCAATTTAAGTGGAAATATTCTTGGGCTTAGCTATATTTGAAATTTTTTGAGTCATTCTGCTGTGTTTTTCCTTAGGCAAAATGGTGTATCTCTGGCTGTGTCAATTTTTTTGGTTTTGTTTTTGGTACATGTGGTTTAAGAGTACATTGATGCATGAAAGAAATTAGTTATTTTGGAGAGTTAGTTTGATAAAATATCAGTCTTAAGTAGTGTCGTAATCAATTCCTTAATACACTTGGCTAGCTGGGCCCATGCAGTCAGTCATAAATCATGGACACATCGTGTGAACAATGAAAGTAAATAATGCATAACCACTGGTCTCCAGATCACATTGGGATGTGATTTGACCCCCAAAAAAGAAAGGGAACAAAAGACATAAATTTGCAGTGTTTGTTTGATTGATACTGTATTTTATCTTGCAGTCACTTCATATATAATTTGGTGTTAAATTTAAAGACCATTCTGTATCATTTTTAATTATTCAGAAAACCCCAGTATCCTTACCTACCATTTTCTCTCCTTAATTTAAAAAAGATACTCTTTCCTGTCACTATCCTCGTCTCCCTCCATGAGTCCGATCTGATTATTTCAGATTCTTTTTCTTTGCCTAAAGGGCAGCCTCCACGTTGCCTTGGAATTCCAGACCCCAACCCCAGCCTGACATCGGTTCCCGCCTCATCCACCCAAACCACAACTGTCCCCTTTCTCCAGACGCGCTCTGTTCTCTCTTGACTTTGGGCGTTTGCACAAGCTGTTTGCTTACCAGTGAGGGCTTCACTCATAACCCCGTTGGTGTCTTTATTCAAGCCAAAGTCCAAAGGCCAGCTTCTCCAGCGCCGCCTCTGAATTTCCAGTGCAGACTGGTGGTTCTGCCCTCAGACTCCCATCGCATTTGGCTTTCACCTCATTGGTTATGCTTCTCAACTTCTCCTGTCTTATCATTATTGGTTTAGTTCTCCCCATCTAGACCCTAAATTCTGTGAATGCAGGGACCGTGTGCTTTTTTGTCGGTTTGCTTTATTTTGTTCTGTTTTGGTTTTTTATCATGCTTATATTTTGGTACTTAATACAGCACAGGGAGTATATGAAATATGGGCTGATGGATTCTGGATCGTTTATAGTGGCATCCATGAAAGATGTTCACATTATCTGGTTACTTTCTCTTCCATGGACGTTCTTCAGAGAGCCAACCAATCTAGATTTTCAGAGATTTTCAGAGAGCCAACAAATATTTAAAGTTGGGAAATACAATACAGCTATAATTGATCATTATCAACGGTTTCATTTTAACTTCAGAAACAAACTCACCACCACCTGCCCCCTCAGTAATTTGGGGCTAGAGACACAGATCTTGTCTGTCCTACTCATGGTGCTCTGGTGGGCTGCTGTGGACTGAGAGTGATTGGGATTATACTTGGAAAAGCAAATCTTTGCAATTTTCAAGGTTTTAGCAGATTGGCTGCAATTATTTCTCAGTTGATCTCTACTGTGGCTCCTGGGTAGAGGATATGGTATTCAATAAGTGTGTTAGAATGAATAAATGAAGAAGGCAGTAGGGACTTATCCATAAGTGGTCCAAAACAATGATTAATTTTTTAACTTGAGACAAAATTTGTTTGACCACTTGAAACTTTGATCACAGTAATTTAATCCCCTCCCCTGCTTTAAAAAAAAAAAAGACTGGGATAAAGTTAATCATATAATATAGTAAGTTCAATTTCTTTTAATTTGCACTACCTATTGTTTTGGGGATTGACTTAGCACATGTTGATTGCTTTTATAAGCATTTATAAGGATTTTTCTTAAACACATATTTCCATGTTAAGCTGTAATTACATTGCCATATATATATATATATATATATATATATGCAATTTTTTTGTTTCTTCAGCAAGAATTTAAGTACCAGTGATCATCTCTATTAGTGTTTTCCATTATTAATAAAATTATTGATAATTTATCTCCTCTTAAAATTAGATAAATATTTGTAAGTTCATTCAACTGAAATATTGAAAGTCATAAATGGCTTTGATTTTTTTTCTCCTTTCCTATTTCACTTATAAGTTTTGATTCACTTTAAATCTTTTTGAATATGAGCCATGTTCTTGCCTGCTCTAGACTTTCTATAGCTACAGAGGATGTTTCCAGAATAAAGAATCTCCCAGAGGCCTCATGATGTGAAGTATGAATCACAGTAAGACTAGTCTGATTTACTTGAAATAAATACAAATGAATTTACTGTCTAGTATCAAATACTGAAGCTTGGGCACATGGCAAGAGAAGTAGTTAGGCAGAAGGTCTTGGACTCTTCTTCCTTACAAAGTTATAAGCCTGTTGAAAACAGACTGTTGTAATTAGCTGTTCTTTTACTTAATTGAAGTTTATAAGAACTTAATGGAGTTTGAAGAACAAAAGTACCTCAATATGCATAGTAGGCTATTTGGTGTCTTTTTTTTTTTTTTTAATGTGATGTCTAATGAGAAGGGCAGCTAACCACATCTAAGTTCTCTGTAAGAGATGAAAATAATTGGCATTGCCCCACTTGAGACAGAACCTCTTAAA